CGTATGACAAAAATAATAGTTCTCCTACTTCCTTGGTTTGCTGGACTTAATCAGAATATAGGGTATTAGAAGTTTCTTGTTTTATTTTGAATAATTTATTTGAATATGATAGGTAGTTTTAGCCCCACACCCATCAGTGTAGTAAAATTGAAATTAAATCATAATGTTCTAAAGAATAGTCTAATTATTGGAAACCATAAAAACTGGGGCAATGTAATAGTGTGGTTGGATGATCTGCTTTCATATTTTGGACAAATTAATCTTGGAATCCCAGCTGCTGGAAGCATCTGTTATAGAGATACAGGGACAAAAAGCAATTATGTCTTCTTTACCGTCTAAAAGATGAAGAATGCTAAGTTACTCTATTTCTTGGCACAGATTATCATAAAATATCAACCATTCTTTTGGGGTTTAATTGTTTATTTTCAGGAAAATAAACAACCTTTAACACATTTAATCATTTAATAAGTAAAATTCAACAAAATAACAAACTTTTTTTTTGTAAGTAGCAATTTTAGATTTTTTTTTTTTTTTTTTTTGCTATAGGGTGCATGCGCTCACCAGAAAGACAGAGACAGAGAGCGAGAAATCACCCCCCGGGGGAGATGGCCACTCCGCAATCCCTTCTCCTCTCAGGATCTTGGGCACGCACGCCCAAGTGCCAGGCATGAGTTTAAGCCACCGGGTCCAGGACTTGAACTGCGGTTGGCTACATGGGAGTTCAGTGACATAGCCATTACACTTACTGCTGATCCCTTAGTTTTGATCTCTACCACATTGATTAGATAATTGTTAACCAATTCAAATTCATAGATCATCAATTTTTTTCACAAAACAAACTGAAAAGGGAAAGCACAGCTTCATACCAGTTTAGAGTTAATGAAGATTCTCTTTCCTGACCTGGAAAGATGGGTTGTCCCATGCAAAAGAGTAGGATTCTGACACGTGTTCATTTCCCAAATATTTATTACCATGGAAAAAAATGTTGTTGAAGGTACGTAGTTGTTACAGTCACTATCAGAAATTAAGTGAAACAAATGGATTTTTTAAATGGAGCTACCATAATCTAATACATAGGCCTAAGCCAACTCAAGTGGTCAGAGATTATGTTCATATGGTATCAGTAAACCAACTTAATGAATTTAAAGCATTGAATTACTTCCAGAAGCTAACTATACCTATAATCAGTACTGAAAATTTCCTAACAACTAAAAGAAGGGGTACACAAAATTATATTTCCACTTCATTTAATAGTACAGTCCCTAAAGGCATTTTTCAATTAGCAACATTTCTTTAGATTCACTCAATTTATCAGTGTTGAATAAAGCTTTGAAAATAATGTTAAATGGCTATGACTCTGAAATTCTTGTCTTTTTATGAGAGTTCCATTCATTGATGAAGGGATCTTTTTGATATAAAGTTGTTGCTAAGGAAAAGCAATGAGAATGCTATGTAACAATCAACTTTGCTTAGTGTTTGTAAAAACAGAATTATATTAGAGAGAAATAACTTTCTGAGTGGGAAAGATTTTCCTTGTAATTGTGGTAAAATTTAGACAAAGTATTTACATGCTTTCTAGAAAGAATGGATTGTAGAGGAGATACAGAAATTACATGAAAGGAGTTGCTGAGAGAGATGTAGTGTTTCACTACCACACTACTCTTTCTGCCTTTGAAGGAACCAGGAGGTATGAGAAGACATTGCTACACCAACTGGGAAAATAATCAGGAAGGCTATTCTCTTTTCATAATGTTTAAATTACCAAATTATTCCCAAGAGAGTGATCAAAGATGAGTCAATAACCACGTAGACTGACTCTTCCATCTTAACTGACTCCCTGTATGTCAGCTATTATGTTCCTGTCTGAAAGACTACCTTGTCCTCTTTCTTAAATGATTAAATTTTATTCACATTTTAAAAGATTTTATTTCATGAGAGAAAGAAAAGCACCTTCAACAGGGTTTTACTCAATGATTTCCCCCCCTGGCCCCCCACTAACTTTCCCAGATAGACAGAATCATGGGGCTTGGGACAAGCATGTACAGGTCAACTGCTGAACTGAACCTGTGATCTTCCATATGCATCTCACGTCTCTTGAGAAGTGCATTACTGTGCTACCTAGCTAGCACAATTTCTAACCACATTTAAACCTCCAGAAGCACTTCTGGAAATCCCCCTTGACATAATTACTGTGTCCTGTGTAGACCTTTAAGGCTGCACTGTAATTGTCCTTATTCTTTCCAGAGCTCTTGAGTAGGCTGTGGAATCATTGAGGCCATGGGTTTTTCAGCTGTGTCCCCAGAGTGTAGGGATAAATTGGCAGAGCAGGTTCTCAGGGACACTGACCCAAGTGAATGACTCTCCACAAATGGTCTCAACTAACGAGACATGTTCCATTCTCTTCCTTCTTTGCCTATCATAAGGCATTCTGTATTTAAAATTCAGAGTTGAAGTCATATTAGCCAAGGATATTGTCTGTTACCTGTTTACCCCAACCTTAGTTGCATAATTTTCTTAGAATTAATTTATTATTTTTTAAAAATTTGTTATAGGGCACATGCACTCATAAGAAAGAGGAGGGGAGAGAGAGAAAATGAGAAAGCAAGCCACCAGGACTGGGACTCAAATCGTGGCCGGCCATGTCGGAATGCCTTAACCACCATGACACCTGCTGGCCTCAGTTGCATTTTTGTAATTACTCGTTAACATGTTTATTTACCATTATTTACCTTCCCAATAGAGCACTTACTAGATTGAAACTCTCAAAAATTGTCTAAAGAACAGAAAACAAGGAGGAACGAAAGGAGAGGCACAATTTTGAACAGGAAGAGGTGGTCAAAGTGTGGGAGAGGGTTTGCTTAACACTGTGAGGTGAAAATAATGGAAGCAAGAGGTCCTCATCATTCCAAAATTCTCATTTAATTTAATACAAAAATGGTAGTAATTTGTCAAAAGGTTAGCCTTGTATGTTTAATTAAGTGAAATGTAGCAGTTTTCCTCTAGCTACCTATACCCTTTAAAATTCAAAATCCACATTTTATATAAAATTTCTCCCTCTTATCACAAGGGATAGTGTTGATCCTTACAGGAAGATTATATATTTTACATTTCTTAAATTATATATATATATTTCTTAAATTATATAATTATATATATAATATATATTTAATTATGTATATATAATTATATATATATAAATCAGCCAGAGAAAAGTAGCATAAGGCATTTTCCTAGGCCTTTCTAGATGATGAAGCATCATGACATAGATAAAACACTTATCTCCTGACCACCCTAACAGTTAAGTAGAACAGGAGCTGTTATTTTTATTTTACAGTTGAGAAAATTGAACTTCAGAGAGGTTAAGAGGGATACACACCTTGGAGCTGTGAATAAATTGAAGAAGAAGGTGAAGGTAAAAGGGAGAAATATTAGATTTGCTTTTTAAAAAATGCTTCACTGGGAGAAATACAATCTTAATCAGCAACAACGAACTTTATTCGACATTTACCACTTGAAGCTCAGTCCTTCCTCTGACAGCAAATTTACCAAAAGAAAGAGGAGGTACCCGCTTCATAGCTCCTCAGACAGCAGTATTTTGTAGAGACACAGGCCCTTCAAGTAATTTACTCCTCAAACACTCTTAAATTCTAGGCTAGTGTACTAAGTAATTGTTAAATAATACAGCCAACCCATTTTGGGGAGGTGTTAAGCCAAAAAGACAATAAAAAGATTACCTTTGTGTGTGAGTGGGTGTGATGTGCAACTGCTTTGGGGGGGCTGGATCTTGGATATTAATATCGATTTTAGTAATGTCACACTGCTCCCCCTCACTCAAACTTTCATGTCCTCCCTTTAGATTCTGCCTGTAAGAGTTCATCCTACCATGTTTGCTTTTTACTTTTTTTTCCTCTTTTTTATTTTTGGAGAGGTTTTTGCTATAGGGCACGTGCGCTCGCCAGACAGACAGACAGAGACATAGAGACAGAAAGCGAGAAATCCCCCCCCAGGAGGGATGGTCACGCTGCAATCCCTTCTCTTCCATTCTCCTCTCGGGATCTTGGGCACGCACGCACACGCGCCTGGCATGAGTTCTCCGGAACGTGAACCGCGATCAACTACGTGGGAGTCCAGCGACATAGCCATTACGCTAACTGCTGGTTCCCCCATGTTTGCTTTTTTGATTTGCCTTTACTAGCTATGTTTTCAGATTCTTACATGGGACCATCCTTCTACCTGGAGCAGCATTTTAATCATGCAGTTATGAGCTCAAGGGATTTAAGAGATTTCTGTCTCCTGTCACTTAAATGTGAATCCTTTAAAAAATACACTCAGAACTTGAAGGCTAAGGTTCAATTCCTGGTCCAATTTTAAGACTGGGCATGCACCTGCTATCCCAGCAACTTGGGGAGGCTGAGGTAAAAGGATCACAAGCTTGAGGCTGGCCTGTGTAGCATAGTGAGACTTTGTCTGAAAAAGAACCGGGCATGGTGGTACACACCTATGTTCTAAGATGAGAGGCTGAGGATGGAGGATTGAGGCATGGTGAGACCCTGTTTTAAAAGCAAGGTAGAAAGCTAGCTCCCCAACCTCCTTGTCCTACCCTCTGCAGTGTGCTTAGGATTAAAACAAAGAAAACACTCATTGCATCCAAGTAGTTGTAATATGGATGGTTTTAAACTCTTTCTGAAAAATAATTTTAATATTTTATATAGCTTGGTAATAAACATTATGAAGCCTTGTAAATGTGACATCATTTGCTTTGATGACATATTCTGGATTATATGTATGATTTATTTGATAGCAAATTTTCCTATCAAATGTAATTAGGGATATATAACTCTCAAATGTAATTTGTCTCTAAGTTATAATGTGACCTATTTATCCACAATCTATATTATGATAACTTTCTAATTTTTTAAAATAAAAAAGCAGAGCTTTCTTATTATTCTTTATTTCTCAGGGCTAAAGGTTGAGAGATGAGGGATGTGCAAAGGACTTACCCACTCCTCCTCGTCATAGTCTGAATGGTGCGGTATAGAATCCTGCCTTTTCATTGCTGGTTGGTCTTGGGGCCTGCTCTCCTCTGTGCCGCTCTTGGGAGAGGGTGTTTTCTTAAGGATACCTCCTGGCCTTGCAGTGTAGAGGGCTAAAAGGGCACTCCTGACCAGCTGATCCTTGAAGGCATGGACAAAAAGCTCTGTCTGAAAAGGAATTACCAAGGATTAGAAACACCATGGTAGGCATCTCAGTACAGAGCTATAAAAAGGTCAATTGCAAATTTGTTCATACTTAAGTGGTGTGTATGATGGAAAAAGTACAGGCACCAAAGAGAGAAAATGATTCATACCAATCAATGGAAAATAGTTTTGTTTTGGGATGCTGCCAAGACCTCGAGTCTTCCTGTTTTAAAGTTAATGCTGAGGTTTTAAATTCACTATAAACACCATCTGTCTCTTCAACCTCCTCTTTTTTACCTCCAAATCTTATCTTTGGAGATGAATTTCACTGGGGATAATCATTGGAACAACATCTACCTGTCGAACCTTTCAAGTAATTCCAAACACACCATAAAAGAAAATGTGATCAGACTATTTGTATTTTATATTTTAAACCGAGTTAAGTAAGGTAGACATTTTTTAAAATACAGGAGAACCTCCTATTTATATTTTCACTTTGTGGACAGATGTCAACAGTAGAGATAACATAGCCATTGTCACCATGAAAATATTTAGCTTATATTCTTTAATATCACCGCCCCCCCCCACAACTATCTCAGCAAAATTGCTTCAGTAATGCTCAATGTTAATGAGGTTACTGTGAAACTTGGCATGGTAGATTTTACAAGTTGGTGGTAAATACCTAGTAAGTACCATAGTAATGATGACTTCCGAACAATAAAGAACTTCACAGCTTTACTTTGCAATTTCCTCATGAAATGTTTAATAGCTTCACTCTGTAATAAGCTGGAGGTTGCAGTAATTGATTTTCTGTATTACAGTATACTTAACATGCATGTGGCCTAACACTCTGTTCAAAGAATAGAGAAGTAAGTGAGGCATTGACCCATGTTGTTAATATATATTTATACTCTGTAATCGGTTAGGAAGAGGCTCTCTAACACATAGCGTTATATTGAATAACAATTGGTATCATCACCATTTAATGAGACACCCTTGGATGTAGTGCTGACTCCACCATTGCTGTAATTCAAGGTAATTATTTTTTAGTGCACTCTCAATATGTAGTCAACAGTTCCATGCTTAACTAGTGGTTACTAAATTATCTCTAAATCTTCCTGTTGTATCAGCAGTTAAAGAAAACCAATTAAACCATGTGCCTAATCAGACACTGTTATATCTTCATAATTACTCTTATGTGCAATAGATCATAAATTTCTGGAACTGCCAGGGACCTTAAAGTTGACCTCTTCATTAACCAGTTAAGAAACCTAGATGGGAAAACAAAGCAAGAAGTGGTATTCTGTTTTAGGGCATACTGCTTATTAGCAAACCAAGGAAAAAGATCCAGAGTTTTTCAACAAGTGTAGTAGCTTTTCCCCTTATTCCATACCACCCACCATGCATCTGGATATTTCTGTCCTTTTACTCCTTAATATTAATTCCCTAAGTATACTGAACCTCTGTAAGTTTTCCTAATTGCCCAAATTACTCAAATAACTATCTTTGCTGCTTAATTTTCTTTTTTTCTTTCTTCCTTCTCTCCTTTTCTTTCTTTTCTTACTTCCTTAAGGTTTTTGCCAAAGGGCACATGTGCTTGCTGGAGAAAGAGAGAGAGAGAGACAGTGAGAGACAAAGGAAAAAATCACCCCTGCAGGAGGATGGCATGCCACAGTCTCTTCTCCATTGACTTCCTGGAATCTTGGGCATGCAAACACATACACTCAGCATGAGTTTCAAGCCACCAGTTCCAAACTTGGACTGCAGCTGGCCATGCGGGAGTCCAGCAACAGAACCATTATCCATCTGCTGGTCCCATATTTTATTGGATGTTTTAAGCACACCATCCATTCATAAGTTGTGTATACATATATATCTACATACATTTACATATAAAGACATATATATTTGATATATTTACATTTAAATATATATTTAAAATTAAATATATATGAATATGTATTATATATACATATATATTTATATATATTTATATTTATATATAAATTCCATACATACACACACATTTAAATATATAATATAAATATATAAATGTGTGTGTATGTATGGAAACCAGAATTTATAAGAACAAAAGATTGGAAAATACTTTGGAATTTGGAAAACAAAACAAAAATGCAGCTTATATTGGGAAGGCACAGAAAGTATTCATTGATGTTAGCAACGAAGCATGAACATGAAAACGGAAGAGAAAAAATACTGATGGAATAATTGGCTAGACAGTACTCAAGTAAGTCAGTGTCATTACAGAAAAATGGGGAAACATGTTATTTACATAATTTCTCACATAGCATAGATATGCCTACCAATGTGAATTTAAGTATTAAAAATGTGAATTTATCCCCATTCAGCTTAACTAAACTATTTCTGTGTTGATAGTTGCAATAAATCCTTCTGATTTATTTTTAGAGCAAAACAGCTTGCCTTCTTTGAATTCCTGCTACTACGGCTCCAGTCTCCACAATACTCACATAATTACTGCGTAGCTGAGTATCTGTTCACACCCAATGAAATCTTCTACAGTGCTTGTAATCACCATCATTTTCTTCCAGAGCATGCACATGCAGAGATTCCACTTCATTTATTCAAAGCTCATTTGAGTTGATTTACCACCAAAGGCAAGGAAGATAATGCAGCAGATTCTTGCAGTTGTACAACCCAGAATTTTCTTTACACAACTGAATACAAGGAGCAAAATCTTAAGCACTTTGATAGCTGAGCTTTTGCATTGTGTCTATACTGACAAATTTATCTCAACTCTTTAGACACTCTTTGGATCACTAGTAATCTGTGCCCAGAAGAACATTATGTTTAAAATATCTAAATATTCTGTTACACTATTTATATGACCTGGAGAAAAAAAAATCTTTAATTTTCCTGACCAGCATGACTTAGTAAATGTAGACCAGTGCAGCCCCTGGATGTTTTACAATCAGAATAAATCAGTTTAAAGAGAGAAATGGAGTCACATAATGCCAATTCAGCTGCATATTGCTGTTCTTAAAACTGGGGTGACACCAGGGAAGATGCAGTCATAGGACAGTTGTGACCACATATCCAACATGCATGTTGACTGCTCTGAAAACCATTTTCCATTTCTGATTTGGTTAGCAGTACATTAAATGAAGTAAGGAAGACTGTCTAAATATTATCATAAGGGGCGACCAAACAACTCATTTAAAAGACCAGATTAATAATATAATAAAACAAAACAAAACAAAACCCTCTGAACCTAAGACAGTAATATTTCATTTTTGATATTAAAAACACAATCTGTAAATTACTCATTTAAAATTTAATTACAAAATTCCACCTGGAATACAAAAGTATCTAATGACATAAACATGTCATTACTGAGTTAGTAATCATGTGTGCAGTAAGAAAGAATCTGGGTTATTTTCATATTTAAGATGCTCTATGATTTCATAGAGAAGGATTGCTGTGTTCTGTCATTGTGCACTGCTGTGTGCTCAGTATTCCCTAAAGGCAAGAATATTGGACTAGCTGCCAGGTTACCTGACCTTTGAGAAGATTGTATGTGTGAACCATTGACCTTGGGTGAGTCATGTGATCACTTCTTCCCAGTCTGTACTAAATTGCAATACCTAACTGGGACACTCTTTAAGTGTTAAAGTTTTAAAGTGTTCTGTTGTGCTCCTCTTTCTCGACTGAGACGTTCAGTTTCCTTTTAAACTCCTCATCCTCTGCTTATGCAAACTGTGGTCAGCTGGCGCCTAAATTTAGTCTTTTTTTTTCTTTTAATTTCTAGAGGGTACATGTATTCATGAGAAAGAGAGAGAGAGAGAGAGCGCACACAAGAGAGAGCGAGCAACTGCGCGCTCTCTCCTAATGGGACATGGACTAACCACAATCCATTCTCCTCCATTTCTCCATTCTGTCAGCATTTGTGGACACATATGTACCAGGTTGTTTTACAAGTGACTGGGGCTGGGACTTGAACCTTTTGGTCAGCTACATGGGATCTGGCTTCCTTATCCACTATTACTCACTAAGCTACAGAGCCAGCCCTCCCAGGACCTTACAGCACTTCCTCAAAAGGATTTTTTTTTTGGTTTATCTTTTCTGAGAGTGAGAGGGACACTCCTAGCAGGGTCGTCCTGCTGCAATTCTCCCCAGCATCAGTCAATCTGGGTATCATTGGTGTGTGCAGGTGAATGTGGTGTGCACAGGGAAACCCTGGGATGAAAACCAGGATCTTCATGTGGATCTGGCATTGCAGAACACTGATAACTGTGTTATAGAAAGGAATTTTTTCATTGATAATGTAATCCATTCTCCCACAGTTTGAATTCTATATGCGAAGGTCTCTAAAAATCCATCTTTACCCACCTCCGAGTCAGCTCTATCAACGGCTTCTGGTGAAAGCCCTTCAAGTCTAGAAGCTCCAGACTGCACTTAAGTTTTTGATTTTTTAAAAATAATTTTAAATTTATTATCATTTTAAAATTTTGCCATAGAACACATTTTCTAAGAAGAGAGAGACAGAGAGGGAAAGTGAAAAAGAAAGTCGCCAGGTCTAGAACTTGAACTGTGGTTAGCCATGTTGGGTATCCAGTGCCTTAACCACCATGCCACCTGCAGGCCCCAAGTTACTTATTTATTTTAAATGTGTTCTTCTCATATTATCCATATATGTGGTATCTCTACTCTTTAGAACTCAGAGTCTATGCCTTTAGATCACCCTCAGTAATACTGGTTTGCTGGATTAGCCATTGGGTACTTCTATTAAATAACTATATCTTTCAATAATTTCAAAGATTGTTTGGTTTGTGTGTTTGTTTTTTGTTAAAAAGTCCCACAGCTAGACCCAGTTAAATCCTTTCTTCACTTCATGTAAATACTTTCCAGTCTCCATACCATTTGGTTTAGTATTCTTCAACTAACTTATTTCCCCCCCCAAGATGTTATCCAAAGGCCACCAATATTAGAATATAAATAGACTCCTGAGTCCTTGCTCTGAATTCCTAGGTCAGTATTTGTATTTT